CGTCTGCGTTTCTTGCACGCCTCTTCTCTCGCGCATCTTCTCTGGTTACCCTGGCCAGGGCTTTCTCTTCTCTATTGGCCTCGTGGTGGCCCTCACCTTCTCCCTCTCCTTCAGGTCCCTGTTAGGGCGCCACTTGACACGGTCCAGCTGCACCTAGTCAAGCAGGTCCTGAAGTGCGGAAGGGAGGCGAAGAAAATAAAGAAAGACAGAAAGAACTGGGAGGGCTGACGCTCCCACGCGTCACCAGCAAAACTTTATTGAAGGTCCAGGTTTTATATAATGCAGTGGGGTTTTTATATAATGCAGTGGGGTTACATGATTCCAGGACATAGCATTATCCAATAGACAATTAAGCACAGTATTGACGTCAGCAGTAGCTGGTCAAAGGTAGGCACAGCAGGGTTCCATCAGTTGGTCATGGAATGCGTAAATAGGATGTTCTTTGTTCTCCATTCCCGCCACATCAGCAAGTAGGGGAAGGGCATAGCCCGCTCCCCACAAACAGCCCAAGCTGAAAAGAACAGTTGATAAAGAAGGGCTGAGCTTCCAACAGTAAATAAAGTGTATGAGATGTAATGCGAGGCAGGATTGAGGGGCTTCCACCTGACCTATTAAGGGTTGGGGGTATCACATAATTATGTGACACATAGCAGACACTCAATAATAAATGTTTCTCATTGTCCTCATTATTTCCATTTTTTCTAATACTTGAGAACACAGTAACACATTCTCCCAAAGTGTAGCAAAGCACTCAATTTATGGAATCACTAACTGATAACACTAGAGGCACTGTAGAGGAATCCCGTCATCCTGCCTTCCTTCAGAGATAGTGAAATAGGGGTTGAAGGACAAGGACTCAGGCCTCCTAACTGCTCTACAACATGCTTATCCTGTGAAATGGTTAGATCTCATGAAGCTTTCCGTGGTAGAGACAAGGCAGCTGCTGTCACTACACCCTGTACCAACCATGTGTTCCTGATGCTCAAACATCTGGGGCCTTGCTGATGCTGAAGGGACCCCTGCTCCCAGGGCTGGCCAATTCCTAGGGATAGAAAGGACTTGCCTTTCAGCATGCTTTTCGTGAGAAAGCCAGTCAACCCAGAGTCCATATCCCCAACCATCTCCTCCACCCAACGCCCACATCCAGACCATGACCACCTGCCCTAGCCCCCCGGGGCCAGGGGCCAGACAACTAGGGACAGCCACTGTGCCCCAGAGCCTGATGAAATGATTCAAACAAGCCAGTCCCAAACCTGCTCACTCTGTCTTGCCCATTTTCTCCATGGAAACCAGAATGGAGTCTCTTGCCCACATTTCCCCCTCACACCTCTGCCTCCTGATGGACCCTGGCGCTTCTCTGTGTGGCCCTCCATGTCGGGTTTACACTCCCTCTTGGAATCTACAAGTGTAACAAACTATCTTTTCAATGGCAGTCATCTCCTACTGATTCTCTGTTAGCCATGCCACACCTAAATAAAAATGAAACCTGTATTTAGAAACATGCCCCTGATCTCCGGATGATCCAACCTACCAGTGAAGAAGAGCCAGAGCAGCTGCCGCTCTCAGCGGTGCTCTATTTGGGGGCACCTCTGCTGCTGCCCCGGTGCCCACCAGGGCTTCTGCTCCTTGTCTCTCAGCTCCTTGGGGAGCAAAAGTTTTTGTGAACATGGAAAACTGGCTTCTTAGAGAACACCTAGGAAGCCCCATTTAAAACACCCTGTGATGCTTCTCTGGGGTTACTCAGAGGGGCAGGCCAACAGCCTTGCAAATCTCTTGGGGTTTTGCTTGCAGACAGACACACCTGACTTGGCCATTTTCCTTCTGCTCACAGCTCTAGTTCACTGAGCAGGGAGGCTGTACCTTAACCAAGAGCAGCACCGAATGCAGGGGAGGGGACAGGATGGCTCCCCTGGAGCACCAGCTGTCATATCAAAGGCTGGACACTGAACAGAGAGACCAAGGCTCCCCACAAGATTCAGGGTGGGGGTGGGGGTCAACATTCTGACTGTGGCAGATCCGCAGGGACAAAGCGAAGGTGAGGTGACCAGGGGACTGCTGCCCAGACTGATTATTTATCAGAGGCTGTTGCTCTGGGCTGGTGAGCCTGGTGCTGGGCTGGGGAGTCTAAGCCCACAGTGGAATAGACAGAATGTCAGATGCAGTCCTATCACATGGCTGGAATGGCCCAGGCAGGCATCAGGAATGTGTGGATTTAGTGACGTCCGCATTGCCCAGCTAGATCATCTGAGACAAGGAGTAAGTGGTAGAAATAAAATCTAAGAGGTCAGTTAGATGCCTTCTGCTTCCCAGGCTTAAAGAGATTTCACAGTCAGAGTTGTGAGGGGAGGCTGGATCTGCTATGATTGCAAAGAACATTATTTACCACTTACTGGGTGCCTTTCACAAACTGGGCACCAACTGGAAAATAAAACAAAAAGACGCCATATCTGGTGAGCAAAGTAAAGGCAGGAGGAAAGTTCCCACTGGATTCCAGAAGCCTGGAACCTCCAATAGCTGCTTTCATTTTTAATTTAACCAATGAACCTATAGTGAAATATAAAGAAAATTAAAAACATGGTGTTCTCAACAGCTTGGAATGCTGGAAGAAAGCTGGGACAACTCTATTACCTGTCGGTGACATAGTCAATAGGATGCTGCTTGAACATGAGGCTCCACTTCTTAATTACATTCAGTAGAGATGCTTTAAAGGGTCGCACATCAATTTTCATCCAGCTCTCAAACACCCTGATGGGCTCCAGCCTGCACACGTCTTCATAGAGCTTTTCATAGGAGTCGATCTGCGATTTAAATTGATGGAGGAGGGGAGGGTTCTCTGGGATGCCATCTTCTGCATGGGCTTCAATTTCCTCGGGTGTGAGGACACGCCCATACAACAGGAACTGACTCAGGACCTCCTTCGGGTCCTCCACGTAGAGGTAGGAATACTGGCTGAAGGTGTTCCGATAGCTGCAGCAGAGGGCCATCATGCTCTGAACCCTCTCCATGAGGGTGCTCCTCATGCTGGCCAAACGGGCCATGCCCTCCACGTCAACCTGGGGAGCAAGACAACGGCAGGTAGGTTACACCCGCATTTCTCAAGAAGTTCCAGAGCTGGCTGGAAGGCAGGATGGTCACAGATCCAGTACCTGATAGTGGGGAGAGCCGTTTTGTGGGGAAAGCCGTGGCACCAAAGACGATATTCCAAAAATGCTGGCGACAAGACCCTCAACAATGTCGTGGAAGCCACCCTTCACTCCAGACTCCAGGGACGGATGGAAAACTAATTCTGGGATTGCTAAGCTCAGCTGTGCTTCGAATATTGGGGTGAGTCCTGCTCGACATTCTGTAAAACAAGGAAAACAAATGGAACAAAGAAGAATGGGTACAATGAGCAAACTGCAATGCTGTTTTAAAAATACCCAGTGCATTCCTTTCCTTTAGATAAGCTGTTTGGGTATAGGAAAATGGAAATGTGAAATTTGCTAACACCCCAGGAAAGGTGAGGGTGACAGTCTTGCAGTGTTTATCAACAGGGGAATGCCTGACATTTTAAACAGGCCAGCTCTTGTACAGGGCTGTCCCGGGCATCGCAGGACATTTACTCTCCTTGTCCTCAGAGAGCATATTCCAGTGACTGATCAACACAAGCCAGTCCCCTTCCACATTCCCAAGGCCTCCAGGGTTGGGCAGGGCCAGGGGGTGCCAGAGCACACAGTAGAGCCTTGGGTTGAGAACAGGTTGATTTTACAAAGCCAATTTCTTGGGAGCAGCTGATCTCTTCCTAGGCACAAACCATGCACTCCCACTGGAACTCCCTAGGTGAACAGCGGTATGCTTGTCTGTGGTTACTAGGCAGGAAAAGGAAAGAGAAGTTATAATCCTGCCTGTTCAGCTCCTTTTCTATGAAAACACAACCTATTTTAATTCGGTAGTCCTGAAGTGATGAACATTTTAAAAATGATATCAATAATTAATAAATCCCTGATTGCTTACTAGACTAACTTGCTAAATTTAAGTCAAAATATAACATGGGGCAAGATGTTCCAAGGACAAGATTAATGCTTAAACTTTTATCAGTGACCACTTATTTCTGTGTATCTTTTTGACTGTAGAAATATTTAGGAGACTGTTATTTGCTGGATACTGTGGGCAGCAGAGACTATGCATTGAAATTCATTATTCCCTCCTTCCCCAGAAATAGAGTTTTGACTGGGTATGTGGCCACCTTCCCCCACCCTCCCTGTGGTTTGGGGTGGTAACATGACTCCCTCACCACTGGAATGTGGGAGGAAGTGACGGGTGCCATTTCCGGGCCAGGGCCACTGAGGCGGCAGCCTTCCCTCCCCTATGCTCTCTCTTTCCCACTGTTACAGGCTTGAGCCCAGATGTGGCAGTGACCCAGCTCAACCACAGAAATGAAGAGGAGGCCCTGGAGAATGGCAGGACGGCAGGAAGCTTAGACCAGCACTTGCAAGATAGAGGTCTTTGTCATTTAAGCCACAGTACAGATGGAGTTTTTGTTACCAGAATTTAGCCATTCACCCTAACTAAAAAAACCTGGGATCCTCAAAGATATGTAAGACTAGGGTCTTGCCTTCAAAACTGTAGGGATCATGTATCCTATTTTGTCCCATCAAACACATATTTAACTTGAGGAAATGCAAGTTCACCAATACCATTGCAATCATACTACATTCACAGGATAGTTTTAAAACATCTGTACTATTGTGCTTTGTATATGTACTCATGATGTATTATTCCGCATTATTATATGTGTTAGATACTTATAATTTGATAGATCAGGCTGCATGTAGTCTCCACGGTTTTAAAGACTTGCAAGACCATTTTTGACCACATGAGATTTTTATCCCATGTGCAAACATGAGAACCTAATCTGTGTGTCAGATGCAAAGACAGCATTATTACCATTCAAACCAGACTGCCCTGCTGGTTCCATAACCTTGGTACAAGCAACTTTAAGAGGCCAGAAGGGGGATAATATTCCTGGGTAGAGTGGGCAGCATTTGACCTGGGCAGGGTTTGTATTCTGAGGGAGGATGGGGAGGCCAGCCCAAGCCATGGAATGGTCTTGACTTCACCAAACCTGAGAAGGTGGAAAACGGGGAGGTGGACCAGGGAGGACAAAGCTGTCTGACTATGCTTCCCACGGCTCTAATTCAGTCAGTTCTCTTTTCTGAAGCTTGATTTAGATTGATTAGATTTTATGGTTTTGCTTTTGCTATATGTCTCACTGTTTGAGAGCCTGGTTTATTGTCAAAGTTTTGGAGAGAAGTCTTTTCTTTTTGAACAATTTAAAAACTCAATACCTTTGCTATTTTACTGTGTGTAATTCACAAAATGTCCATAGCATTTTGGGAGAAGTCACAGAATGCTCAGTTACCCTTTACTGTAACTCAATACACTTTATGACTGTTATCTCTCCAGGAATAACCCACATCCATAAGCCAGTAAATACCAGTATTTTCCAGGAGGTACTTGAGGGAGCACTCAATGGCTAGAAAGAATCCATCCAGCAACATGTCATCGATGTACTTAATGTAAGTCTTCCAGATATTAGAGGCTGGGTCTGCTGAAAACAGACCCAGGTTTTCCTACGAAAAAGAGAATGGATTTATTAAGCCATGTTTAATAACATGGAAGGACTGGTCTAGTCACCAGTAATGGGAATGAAAAGAACACATAGAGAAAAAAAGCATTCTTGTGAAGACTTTGCTATTACATGTGTATCAGATCCATTCTGTTTAATGGTTTTAGCCACTGGCTGGAAGGAACACAAAGTTAACCCAGGCAGGGAATAGGTGGTATCATCCTGTCCCTAAGAAAGGAGGGTGGCGTCTGGCCATGTTGCTGGGTGCAGTGTGCACACCTCATAAACGCTGGCTGATGGGCTGGGCAGGAAGCTGCCTCAACACAGAAGACAGGGGAGGCAGAGGGAATACCAAGGGTGGGGGGTGTTATGACTCAAGGCTTATAAGAAATTTGGGGTTCAAGCAAGTAAAGCATTTCCTAGACAATCCCTAGAAATGAGCTGGAGTGTTTTGTGTTGTCATTTAACTAAAAACCTTCATCACATGGAGTAATTGAGAAAACACATACACATAAATGAATGCCACATTCTCCCTCTCTGTCTCTCTCCCTCTGTCTCTGTCCTTCTTGCTCTTGTTCTCTTTCTCGGTCTTTCCTGACCTGGTGGTTGTGACAAGTAGAGTTGTCCCATTTGCTCTGCCTCATCTTCATTATTAAGCCTTTTTTCAGCAACTTCCCATTCATCTTATCTCTCTAAAGCGAGTGGCAATGAGTTTGCAGGACTAAAATTTCTAGGTGATTCACACTCACTTATCCCTTTACAAACATTTCCAGGTTGTAAATCCCCCTGAATTAAAAAACAACCACGGGATCCTGCCTTTAAGTGACAAAACTCTGAAGTTTCTAAAGTGTATTAAGCTTTCCTTTCTCAGTCAGTTGAAGATTTTCCTAATAACTTAAAGTCCATCATCACACAAATAACACAGTGATGATATAGAGTTTCTCTCAGATGTTATTAAAATGTGCATGTCTGTTTTTTTCTCTAAAACTTCTGGTTTTCATGACTGCTTTGCATGGCTGCTCTATTTCCTCCCTCAGTCTGCACTTTTCACCTTTCTACCTCAGATCTACTATGGTCTAAGGAGCAAACATGTTGGGGTTTCCTGTGACCTAAGAAGAAAGAGCTCAAGTTTCTGATTCTGGCCAAGACAGAGGAATGAGATCGGACTTACTCTTCTACAAACAACTATAGAACTGGGTACAATACAAGAAACAACTGGTTTAGGCTACTGGGTAACCAACAATACAGAGATGTGATCCTTGAGAGGAGGAAAATATCCAGGTGAGCTGCACAACCATCTGGCTTTCTACATAGACACTTTCCCAACCACGGCATGAGGAAGTGGAGCTCAGTAACAGCACCCTTCCTGCTGGGCAGAACAGGTGGCACTGGAGCTGGGCTGCTAAGGCTGCTGAGTCCTCTTGAGCCCTTGAATAGTAAGCTGTCCACATTTAGGGCAAGGCTCTGCAAGGCCTGGCAGAGAACAGTTACTGAGGCTCGAAGCTGAATGGAGACTGTCTAGGTCATGCAGTGCCAGAAGACATTTGTGCTCTACCAGAAATTATCTGCAGGTAACCCAGGAATTCATTAGACCCCAGAAATGCCATGCTTAGGATTAGAACTGTTCTGATCTAGAGTCAGGCCTCTTTAGACCCTCCCTTAGCAAAGCTTAATAGTGAGCATCAACGGGATCAAGCGGTAAGTGAACTGCCTGCCGAAACAAAATACAAACTCCGTAAGGGAAATCACACCCAGATTCTAAAGTGGCATCCAACATGACTAGAACATAATACAAAAATTACTGGACATGCAGAGAAGCAGGAAAATGTGACATTTAACCAAGAGAGAAAATAATTAATAAGAACAGACTCAGAAAATAGCGGCCATACCCATCTTGGAATGCCTATTCCTTAGACTTATTTTAAGTCAGAGAAAAACACACTTCAGTCACACTAAAAAAACAGGCTCAGAAAATAAAATCGATGTTAGCATTATCAGACAAGAATGCCATAATTGATTAAAAACTCCCTAAATCTGAGGAAAAACAGATTCAAGACACTGTTGTTAAATATAAACTCCCAAATTTTGAAATACAAAATCCCCAACTCCGAGCTGGATGACTATAAAGAAAACCTATTTAGGCACATCATAGTTAAACAGAAAACAATGCAAAGATTTAAAAAGAAGCTATTAAAAGCTGCCTGATAGAAATAATAGATTACATATAGAGGAACAAAGATACAAATTAGGGCTGGCTTCTCGTCAGGAACATTAGAGGGTAGAAGACAATGAGATGACTTCTGAAAGAAAAATAAAACTGTCTACACAGAATTCCACGTCCAGTGAAACTATCCTTCAGAAACAAAGGTGAAATGAGGACATTTTTGGATAGACAAAAACTGAGAGAATGTGTCATTAGCAGACTTGAACTACAAGGAATAGCAGAGGAAGTTCTTCAGGCTGAAAACAAATGACCACAGATGGTAACTCAGTTCTATAGAAAGGAAAAACAAGTCTGAAAATGGTGGGTTTGTGGGTAAATATAAAACACAATAAACATTTTTCTTGAAATTTTAAAGCAAAAAATCATAATACTCTACTGCAGGATTTGTTTCACATACGTGCACACACACGCACACCTCAAAACTGTGACAGATGGGGGTCAGGGTGGTTTTGAATTGAACCATATGTTGCTAGGTCACACTATAGTGTGGGTATCTCTCATATTTCATGGGAAAACTGTAAGTAGATTTTGACTAGTTCAAGAGAGACACAGAAACATAGAACCACCGCTGCAAATGTAATCCAACAACAAAAGCTGAAATGCCAATGAGAAATTAAATCCTAAAATATATGTCATCAATAACAAGGTGAGAAAGGAAGAGGTAGAGGAACAAAGAAGATGAAGCAAGTAGAACACAAACAGCAAAATGGCAGAGCTAACTCCAGCCATACCAGTACTTATATCAAATGTTAATAGTCTGAACGTTACAGAGATTAGCAGGCAGAGTTGTTAGAAAAGTAAGTTTCTACCATGTGCTGCTTGTCTATAAGGGAATAAATTCGAATCCAGAGAAGCAATGGGTTGGAGGTAAAAGAGTGGGAACAGATGGATAAGGCAATAAGTAGGGATGGTGAGTCTGGAAGGAAAGGTTATAGTATTATCAGGAGAAAACAGATTTCAAGGCAAGGGGGTATTACCAGAAATCAACAGGGAATTTCATAATGATGAAATGGTCGATTCATCAGGAAGTTGTAATAATTATAAACCTGTGTTTGTACCTACTAACAAGGTTTCAAATACATGATGAAAAATCGGACAGAACTAAAGGACTAAACGGACATATCCAAAATCCTAGGTGGAGATTTTACCACTCTGCCTTCAGTAATTAGAAGAACAAATAGACAAAAAATGCAGAAAGCTCATAGAAGATCAGAACAACACTACCAATCACATGGAACTTACTGGTATTTGCAGAACCCTACAGCCACCCATGGAAGAACAAACATATTGTTAAGTACACAGGGAACATGCAGTACGATAGACAATATTCTAGGTCATGGACCAAATCTCAGGGAACTCCAAATGATTGAAATCTTACAGAGTATTTTCTCTGAACACAAGGAAATTAAATGAGATACCAATTTCATTAAGATATCCAGAGAAGCCCCAAATATGTGGAAACTCAACAATACACTTCTAAACAACCACTGAGTTAAAGAAGTTGCAAGAGAAAAAATTTAAAACTGAAAGATAATGAGAATGAGGCAGATTAAATGTATGAATGTCACTAATGTCCTGCTAAGAGGGAAATTTATGCCAGCAAATGCTTGCATTAGTAAGAAAGAAAGGCTTACAGTCAATACCCTAAGCTTCTACCCTGACAGGCTAGGAAAAAAAGATGAGCAAATTAACCCCCAGTTAACTAGAAAGATATAATAAAAAACAACATATTAGAAAACAGATAAAGAAAGTGAACAAAGTCAAAAGTGCAACATCTTACCATGCTTCAAAGCATAGGTAACCCCAAATTACCAACTGTGACTCATTACTGACTTTGTGCATGAGGCCTGCCAGCCAGAACTGCCCCATGGCTGCTCCAGTGGGGTTGGAGTTGGTGGCCATTTATGGCACTTTTCCATTGCTCGGTCTCTGATGATAAGACAGGAAGTTGCCTTGATCACAAGGCAGGGCAGAGCTTCACTGCATGGAGTGCAGTCCTCTGCATTGTTTTCTTCTCTTTACCAAGTGCAGTTAGGGAGCCATGGTAATCTCTCACCTCACCAGGCTCTACAAAGTTAGGTTCTGAAAATGATGCTGGAGGTCCTCACTAGGTTGCATGGGCAAGTCTGGGGTGATTCATGTAGCAGGCACTTTAGGATTCTATCCTTGGCATCCCCTTTGAGGTTTTGTGTGGGACTTAAGTGGCTACTAAGTGGTGTCATTATTAACATAGCACTGATTTTGACACACTGATGCAGAATGTGACTTTTCATTCCCCCTTTCTGTTGCTTTTAGTTCTTTTGCTATGAGTATAAACTGCTATTCCTAACTGCAGAAGACATAGCATCTATTGACTGCTCTAATTTTCAAGTTACTTCTTGCACCCAAACACACTTCTTGAGGCTTTCCCTGTACTAGTGTTATGTGTGTCTGAGAGGTTATTACCTGAATAAGGGTGTGTATCTTAAGGCCAGATTCTTTGATGAGACTATAAGATTTTTGCACTCGATCATGCTGATCATCCATGGAAAGAAGGCATTCCTTTTTTCCATCTTTTCTCTTAAATATTGGAGACACCCATGTTTTCATGATGTTTTGAATCTCTTCCACATTGTCTTTAGTTTTCTGAACTCTTTGTTCAAGATCATGAATATTATTGGTGATTTGACTGACATAATCCCAAATACCTGTTCCCCAAAAGAAATACAGTTAATTGAGAGGGGCACAGCTAAAAGTCTAGTCTCAATGAAAGACAGGGATTTAACACTCCTGGGTTTCAAAAGACTTTTTCTGCACACGTCACTTCGTTATCATAAGGGCCTTTTTCTCCTAGTTGTATCAAAAAGTCAGTTCTTACCAGAACCCTGATTATTCAGGAAAAGAAACAATGATGTTTACCAAACACCCAACAATAGTTGGTGCCCATGCTGGGGCACAGCAGTGCAACTTGGTGACTTGTTTTGGGGTTATTGAGTCTTATTTTTTAAAGAACTTTCACTATATTAAATGTTGAGAATATCATTCCCCTTGTATAAGTAATAAAGTTCCAACTTGTTTAATATGGCATCCCAAGACTTTTGTGAGTTGACTGTGACCTTCTTTTCAAACTTTTACTCTTCTGAGGATCCTAATGCAAATTAATCTCCCTCCCCTGTGATTCATCACACTTTATTTTTAAGTCTATGATGGCTTATTTTCACAGCCTGTCTTGTATAATTTGGGTTGTCCATATGTCTGTTGTCCCCACTACATGTGAGTTCTTTGAGGATAGGGGTCAGTCTCCCAACAGTCTCTCACATACTACCCTGCATAGGTTAATCCATCAATGAAAATTTGTTGAACTGAATCAGAGTATACAAGAGAAGTGAATGCAAAGTCCCCACCTTTAAGATGTTCATAGTCTAGTTAAGAACATTAACAGTGGTAATATACTAAAAATCCTCATTCATGGAGTGCCCAGTATACGCTGGAGACTGTGAGAGATGGAGCCTCTCTCAAGCAATAGTGCAGCCTCCCCAGGTGAATGGCAGGAAAATGTTCTAAGCCTACTAATCATTTCCAAAGAGAAGGAAGAAGGAACACCAATCTCCCTTGTCTTCTCCACTTTGGATATACATCTGAGGGGATAGACTTATGTTTCAAATACAAACCAGATCACCAGGGAATCATCTGAGGATCTACCAGCTTGTTAGGATCTTGACTCCCCATGTTTTCCCCAGACTCCAGGTGGTGCCGTTACCTTCCGTTTGCCAGTTGAGAGTCTCCTCTGCAGCTCTCAGGCAGAGATCAATATTTTGCAGCTCTTTCCTCACTAATGGAAATTCTACCTCTAGCAGACTTTTCAAAACCTTGTTGTACCAATTGGCCATTAGCTCCAAGTTAGCCACAAGCTGCCGATAGAATTCCCTGGAAGAGAACATGGCTGCTGCCGTCTCGGGGATGTGCTTCATCTGCCTGGGTTCGAGATAACTCATTTCTTTCAGCACTGAAATCAGCTGGAGAAAGAATTGACGTAAGTAGCTGTAGTTCCATGGCAGTGAATATTGGCGATGTCATTCAAGGACAAGAAAAACCCAGGGATGCAAATACCTTCTGGGTCCCCTCTGAACTCCTGTTCCTACATGTTCCTTAAACCTAGTTTTGGAAAAGGAAACTGTCAGGCAGAAGGAAGAGCTCGTCCTGGCTGAGCCAGGTCCCATCAAGAGATGGTGGTCTGAAGGATGAGGTGCATCTGGTCTGGGCCACCCATGTGCATGAAAAGACTCAAACTGGGACAAACAGTATCCTCTCCAAATGAGGTCAAACACATAGTCACAGACAGGGACAGAACTGAGGGGAGATGCCCACTGTACAATGTTAACCATGGAAAAGAATCATTTGAAATATCCCTTTCTGTCAGTAACCCTGGGCTGTCATGTCTTTGTGTTTTAATATATGAGGAGGTCAGGAAATGGAAGCCACCCAGGCTTTTCTGAACTTCTGTGGGATGCTGACGTTAGTGGCAAGTGCAGAAGTGAGAAGCCAAGCAGATGTGGCCAAGTGAAAAAACAGGTTTATGAGGGTTTCCAGGCTCCATTTCTCATTATCTGTCATCCCGGCACCTCTGATGTGCATAGGTATGGATGACAAAACAAAAAGCTGTAAGTCCTCCGACCCATCACTACTCCCCACACCCCACTCTGTGTAAGAGCCCTGGGCTCCTGACTCTCCTTCCAGGGGCCCAGGGCCAGTTCTTCATTGCTGCCTAGCCAACTCTACTCAAGGTTTAGACAAAGGCTAACTACTCAGCAGGAAAATGACCTCAGCCTCTAGTTGATTTTGAATAAAGCTCAAGACAGATAATAAAAATCTAGATGCAAAAAAATGAAAATAAATATTAAAAGAAAATGTGGGGTAGTTATATAATATTGAGGTAGAGAAGGCCATTCAGAACATACAACCACAAAATACAAGATAAAATTTACAGGCATAAAATATGATACACATAACAAAATGGCACACTTCAACTGGTAAAAGTATTTGCAACAGATTTCTTAATATCTGACAAAATACTTATCAAATATTCTAACAAATTTACAGGAAAAGAGGCCCTTTCCACTCAAAAGTGGGCAGAGGACATGAACAAGCAATTCATGGGAAAACCATGAACAGCTAATGAACACATGAAAAAGGTTCTACTTTACCAGTGGTCAAATAAATGCAAATTAAAACAATGGTGAGATATTACATATATACATATTTATATTCAGTTCCACAGGCTGGAGGTGACTTGAAGAAATGCGTATTGGCTTAGCTGTCACCTCTCTCTACACTGGATTCCCAGGGAGCTTGCCATCAGGACAGAGGAAGGTGGCTGCTTTTAGCTCGGGGTGGCCAATACTTTTCTTTGGCTGAATGATGTACTTCCTGATGTGGGCTAACTTTTGGCCGTAGTTTTTTCCAGCATTAATTTGCCCATGGCAGCTGCAATCCACACAGTCTTCCACCGTGGATCATCTAGACTAAGGCTTCCCAACCGTGGCACTACTAACGTTTGCAGACAAAAACTCTTTGTGGTGCAAGGTAAAGAGCCAGCAGCATCCCCACTATCTACTCACTCTGTGCTACTGGCACTCATCCCATAGTTTACAACCAAAAATGCCTCCAGGGGGACAAAACTGCCTTGGTTGAGAATCACTAAAATCTTATTTTGGATTCTTATTTCCAAAGCTACTCCTTTGAGGTTCGTCTTATGGTATCTAATAAAGATAGATTTGTACATGTTGAGATTCTAGCTCCCAACTAGCTGAGGACTCCCTGAGAACAGGAACCAGTGTTACATTTGGTCGGCCCTCCAGCCTCTAGTCAGTGCCTTCACACAGAGCGTGCATTCAAGGTAGGCCTAATCGACTGTTTGGTACTAACTGGTCTGTAATGCTGTTTTTCTATCTGTCCCAAGAGGGGTAGCAATGTCTGTAACCTGTTTAAATACCTTCTGGAATTTCAGGCAGAGTATACCTAAGATATGATATTGAAACTTTTTGATGAGTTAATCTTACATGTACTTCCCTAACTTCATATGGGAAGTCAAGTTCATAATAAAGCTGTTCTCATATGAAAATTTAAAGACTATTTTGCAATATTTTCTGTTGTGCAAAATCGAAGCAAATATATCAGCTAACCTTGGAGAAGAATATGAACATTGGACACCTTAAGAAAACACGACACTGAGGAATTCATCCTGAAAAGGAAATCCAGGGTGGAAATTCTTTTGAGCAGCTTTTATATGTTCTAATAAAAAGCCATTTTGCCTTTGAAATCAGCAGAGTTAAGCAAAACTCTTCAAGAACACAAAAGGAAATTACTGCTGCCTGACTTACCTGTGGGTTAAAGTTGACAGTGATCTGCTTCGTCTCTGGGTCACGTTGCAGAAGTGGCTGGGAAAGATTGTACTGTGACTTCTCTGATACCGTCTGACACCAGTCATCATAAAGACTTGTCTCATATCTGTGCGGATCAGAGACAACAGCCACTTCATAAGCACCTTCCCCCCGCAACACCTAGCAATGATTTACTAAAGATACATTTAACATATATATCTATACAGAGAGATATATTAACATATATACAACATACCTATCTGTGTGCATGCACATATACATATGTACATTCATATATATACATACACACACATATATATAAAACCATGAACTGAAGATACTATTAGTAAAATACCTGGATACATTCTTAAGTCAAAGTCATTGACTCAGCCAGGCATGGCAGCTCCTGCAGGTAACCCCTCATTTCTAATGGTGCTCATCAGAGGTGAGCAGAGAGGCTCCATGAGGTCTTTGTAGGGGATAAAGGTTGTGATTAGTCTCAGCCAATGTGGGAAGAAGTAACTGGGTAAGATCTGCTCTCACACTAATCTGCAGGCAGCTCACAGACACTCATAGTCCAGTCTCCACAGGCTGACTGCACACCTGCCCTGCACTGGGCAAGGGGACAGAGCCACCAGGAGTGCCCCACCAGGTGGTAAAGGCTGCTAGCGGCAGGGGCCGCGGGAAATGGAGTGTAGCAAGTGCAGGCCTAGAGAGCTGCACAGGGCGTTAGGCGCCTAATGGCAGGGGTGGGGGTGACAGGGAAATTGCCAGGCAGGTTTTGTGGAAGAGGGGCCGAAGCGATGCCTGGCTGAGTGTAAGGATGAGTAGTGGCTGGGCAGCAGAAGAGTGTTCCTGGCAGAAACAACAGCATGGCCAAAATCTGGAGGTAAGAAACAGCTAAAACATCAGAGTGTATGCTAAGAACACCTGAGGCCGGAGGGGCTAAGGGTCAAGGCTGGAGAGGGATGTAAGGGCCACATTACAAAAGGCTTTGCATGTGTTGGTAAAGAGATGGTAGGAGGCCCTCCTGAGGGCTTTTCAGCCAGGGGATGTGGTGACATGATCACTGAGAGATTTGGCAACTGTGGGCAGTGTGGGCACCAGACCCTGGGCTTACCACAGCTTTAAAGCAGGAACAACTATGAACCCCTGCAAAATTTTCATTCTTATGCTTTCTCCATAGAAGGATACAAGAAATATTTTTAAAACGTATTTTCTCTCTGTGCAGCACAAACTGTTGCTTTCTGCTTAGTGAGCAGCTGCTGTGATTTCCCATCACACTGATTTCAGAGTGCCGGGAAGAGCACCCTACTTTTTCTAGATTGCCAAGTTCATGCTCCCAACAAAACTACACTGGACAAGTGTCTGTTTCTAGAATAGAGCTGCATTCCCCAGAGGCCCTGTGTCTGCAAGCCAGAAGCACTGTACTCACAGATATTGGGTTTATAACTTAAAACACGGGTGACATTTCACAGCCAGTGAGGATCTGAACCAACTCGGGACTGCAAAAGGCATCACGGGGCCTGTGCAATTTGTAGAACAAGACAATCCCAGAAGTGTTTACTTTTCCAGCAAGGAGAGCATGGCTTCATATTTTTATATCATGCACTTTCCTTCAGCTGATTCCATGCATCTATCCGTACAACAGAGAAGAAAATGGCACCCGATTAGAAGAAGTCAAAATAATGGTCTGAATAACAAATTGCAGCCTATAAAGAACAGTTTCGTGAGCCAGTTTTCAAATGCCCTTAAAATGAGTCTTCATTCTTCTTCCTGAACATCCTCTGTGGGCCACTAGGGGGCATTTGCAGGTTCTGAAACACAAGCAGCCCCAAGGATGACAGAGATGGCAGAACCTTCCACCCACCCTCTCACCCCAGCCAGCCAGTCATGCACAGGGAAATGAAGTTCTTCAAAAATATGAATGAAAGGGAAATTGAGACATGGAAGAAAAATTCTAAGTGCTGTTGTATTTTATATTTAGGGAAAAAAACGATATATAATAATACATTATAATGTAACAAAAACTATGTAACATATATAACATTATACATGCGTATATGTATATAACTGTTTCATATGTGTGTATAACAATGTTTTATATATGCATATATGTATATAACAATGTTTATCCATACAAACACATATGTATAAGCATTGTTATATACGTGTGTGTATGTGTGTGCACATACATTTCTCTCTCTCTGACATCCCTCTAGGACAGGCAATGAGAAACCCTGCTACTAATTACTCATTAATATGTTCCTAGGAGGTTCCCTCCACTTCTTATGCCCCCAAACTTGGGCACACATGATGCACATGCATGAAGACACACACATGCACATGTACACATGCTCACATGTACAGACACACTCAGATTCCACAGGGATGCTGAGGACCACAGAGGAATGTGAGCAGAGTCCAGCCCCAGGCACTGTTACCCACACTTGTTCCCCCAGTTTTGACACTCCTTTACAACACTGTATGTTCCCAGGAGGGTCCAGTTCCTGGGAGAATTGGTGAAATATCCATCATTTTCAGAAACCTTCACACTAAGTGTCTTGGAGGTTCTGGTCTTGTTTGTTCTGTTAGCAAAATGATGCAGCTTATTGCAAAGATTCTTTAAAATCCATTTGCTATATAAACCAATACAGAGTGTCTTCACAAGATCTCCTGAACTTTCAGTGTAAGCCCTCATGCCTGCAGAGAGAGCCCTGGATTTCCTGGCCATTTTTTCCAGGTGCTTAGTTTCCTTACATGGTGACTGGGGAGATGCGGCTGCCAGGCAGTAAGAAGTACAAAGGGCTTCGGACCAGGGGGTGGGCTCCCCTCTCAAGCTGTGGGATTTCTGCAAGGTTCATGATCCAAGATCTCAGGTTCGTATCTGGAACAGAAAGAGGCTAGAGGAGAGAGGGGCTTCTCACACGGGGGGTCTGTGGCATGGGCCAGAAGGCCCAAGAGGTCATAGGAATGAGGACTGACTGCCTGCATGTAGACTGCACTTCATGGTGAGGCATCTAAAACACTTTAATTAACCAATTTATATAGAGAGAGTGCAAGACAAATGTGAATTCATTTTTAAAACCAATGGCATATCCATGGGAATTGTAGGGGACATGGTGGGGTGCCATTCAGGGCCCCTTCCGGGCCCAGGCAGCTGAGAGGAAGCATGGCTGCCTCCCTCTTTGGGAACAGCCTCAGCCAGAAAAAGCCATGTTGCCCCAAGTTGGGCCCCTCCCAGGACAGCTGACATCCAGCAACTAGCTAATGTGGGAGTAGGAGGCCTGGCAATGCCAGAGGGCCAGAGTTCCCCATAAAATGGGCTGAGGCCTTGTTGCAACTGTACCACAGCTCACTTCTCCCTCTGCCCAATCCCTTCCCCTAACCCCCAGATGCTGTTCCCAAGAGCATCTCTGAATTCCTGCACACACACGTTGAAGTCTGCTTCAAGAGAACTAGACCACGGGCAGCTACTGCTGTCTACTTTCCTAGAAGCAGACCCACTCCTCCCCACCCACTCACATCTCCTCCCTGCCGCCAAGCTTCCCATGGTAGGGGCCCCTGGGAAGAGCTCTGGGCTAGGAGCCCTGAGCCCCAGGCTCTTGTTTCAGTTCTTTCCTTGCCTTCCTTTGTGAATTTAGGCCTGTCACCTCATTTCTGCTTCTCCCAGTTTCTTCATCTGCAAAACAAAGCTCCCACTCAGATCAGAGCAGATGCTGCAGATGGTTGCCGCCCTCCTACCCCATGACACTTCAGACCTGCCCCAGGAGTGTGATTGTGTGATCTGTGTGGAGTCTGAAAAAATGGAGAATACTTGAGAATTTTGAAGTAGAGCATTTCACATACAAATCCCGATTTTTAGCTTCTCTCCAACAGTCTGGAGATTGCTCACACTGAGTCTGCTCTTCTGCTCCCCAGGCTGGATGGCATATCCCTCGGGGCTCCCTCCCGGCTGTCTTGCACTGTCTTCCAGGCCCCTGAAAGCATTTGGTCTTGGCTCTTGGGTCTCTAAAGCCCTTCCTAGCATCAAAATGCCCGTAACGCCAATGTCCAGACTCCACTTCCTTTGTTTGCCAAAGTGGGTGCTCTAGACGAGACTGAGCCTTTAGAGAGAGGGCTCAGGGAAAGACTGGCCTCCAGAGGCAGCATCTTGAACATGGCAAAATGCTCTCTCTCGCTTCTAGCAACTCGAGAGGCACTCACTAGCCTGACTTCCAGATGCAGCTATGAGGTAGGTCACTGGTCTCCAACCCCGTCAGTTGTCAGAATCCTGGGGAGGCTTGCCGAGGAAGCAGACTCATAGGCCCCATCCCGGGACTGGGATCCAGTGGGTGAGGGGTGAGCCTGGGATCTGCGTTTTTATAGGCCCCCAAGGGGTTCTGATGCATACATCAAGTCCTTACACCATGCTTGACACTGGGCTTCACTGTTTTCCAGCAGCCTCCAAAGAGACATTGTGTCAGAGGGAGCTGTGAGGAGGAATTCCAGGGGCCTTGAAAATTCTGACTCATTTTTCTCTGAAAAGAAACCTCACAGAGCAGAAAGGGTCAGACCATGGTCCATTAAGCTTCACTTAACACCAAGAGGTCCCCTAATTAGTCCAACATATCAATCTTGTTACTGTTTGGCCAACAGCTATGTGGTTGCTGTAGACTAAATGTTTATGTCCCCCCAAAAGTCCTGTGTTGAAGCTTGATCCCCAGGGTGACAGTATCTGGAAGCGGGGCCTTTGCGAGGTGCTTAGGTCATGAGTGTGGAGCCCTTGCAAATGGGATTAGTGCCCCTGTAGAAGAGGCTTCACAGAGACCCCTCTGCCATGTGAGTAGAGTGAGAAGACAGCCGTTATGAAACGGGAAGCCGTTCACCAGACACTGTATTTGTCGGCACCTTGATCTTGGACTTCCCAGCTTCCAGACTGTGGCAAACATACTGCTGATGCTTATAAGCCACCCCGTCTGTGGTATTTTGTTACAGCAGCCCAAATGGACCAGACACTGGGCAATTGCAGGAAATGAAAAGAAATGAGTATGATTTTTGTGTCTTAGTGAGTTGCATTTCTACTAACACTCAAAATCCAGAGCAGCAGCAGAAGCCTAAAACCACCTGCCTTTGAGAATAAAATACTCACGGATGTGTGATGCATCCAAAGTTGGTGAAGGGTCCCTGGATGCGCTGTCTGAACTCCTGCGCCCAGCGGAGACCCCCGGCCACAGTGGGCATGTTCTTGTGCACTGAGGAGAACCCTGGGGACACAGCACAGCCAGATTGAAGGGAGGCTGTAGCTGCTTGCCCCACTCTGCCCCAGGAACACCTCCAGCCTCTGCTTTTGGCCTCATCTACCTCCACATGCTAAGGTCACCTGTGCTCACACTGAGATGGGGTGTTCCTGCAAGATCACCATGTTCTGCTAAGGAATAAGGAAGTGTGACCTTGGGAAGAACACTGAACAGGGTCAGAGGACAGAGGTCCCCAGGCAGCTCTACCACCCACTAGATTTCTGACTTCACAGCAGTGACTTTCAGCCAGGCTGCCCATCGGCATCACCTGGGCCCTGCCCTCGCCATTCAGATTTAATTGATCTGGGTGGTGGGGGCAGTGCCCAGCCCACCTGTATTTTTAAAAAAACCTCTTGAGAGGATTCTAATTGCACAGTCAGGCTTGAGAAATGCTGCCTTAAACAGACAACTTAATCTCTCTGAGGCTCAATCTTTTCATCTATAAAATGGGAATAATAACCTCAGGGTTCCTATTAGAATCTAGTAAGATTATAAGTGAGACAAGCCATGTGGACTGTGAAGCACTTGCCCAGAGTTAGCACTGCCTGGTTATTCTTATTTTAATTCACACAGTGGGTTTGTTTGCTTACAATTAGTGGCCCAGATTTAACAATTATAAGATTTCATTTTTTGAAAAAAGTCAGTTTCCAGCTTCCCTCATAAAATTGGAAGATCTGGCAACAATCAGCAGCCACTTCCAACTGGCAAGTGGAGCTGAACGGGGCCCCGTCATTTAGTTTACCCTGGACATCCCCACTCTGATGTCTCATGCTCAGCCCAGATCCATTACTGCCATTTTTCTGCTTGGCCCCCATGGTAGGCAAAATTCTAGGATGACACCGCATCCTCGCATAATCCTCTCCTCCTGAAGTATGGGTAGCAGCTCTGAATACAGTGAGATGGTCACTCCTGTGATGATGTTATCTTGTATGGCAAAAGGGAGAGGCTCCTCGCAGGCCTGTCTTAATCAGCTGAGCCCTAAAAGCAGAGGGTTTTCTGTGGTGGAAGAGGAAGTCAGGGATCTGAAGCATGAGAAGGATTTACTGTGCCTTTACTGGTTTGAAGATGGAAGCAGCTACATAGCCTTGCCGACTGGTAAGGAATGGGAGCTCTTTCTGTTGCTGAGTGGCCCCCAGCTGGCAGTCAACAAGGAAATGGAGACCTCGGTCCTACAGCCACAAGGAACTGGATTCCACCAGCAAGAATGGGCTCAGAAGTGGTTTGTCCCCCCTGAGCCTTCAGATGAGAACTCGGCCTGGCTGATACCTTGATTCCAGCCTCGTGATTCTCTGAGTGGAGAACCAAGGCATACCACGCAGGGCTTCTGGCCTGCAGAAGAGCGAAGATGTGTGTGGTTTTAAGACACTAGGTTGAGATGATGTGTCAGGCAGGAATGGAAAACTAATATGGCCTCTGAAGGTATCTGAGTTTTTGAATTCCATGTCTGACTGGATGAAGTCATGAGGGTTACCCCACATAAAGCTGGGGACAACAGATTTCCTGAGAATAGCTTCTTAACTGGAAGCATTCTTAATAGCCACACTATGAAACCTGTTTATAGACAGAGTGGTCCTGCCACTCCAATACTTAAAAACCTTGGGTAATTTCCCATTGCCTGAATATTGAATTCTGGGTTCTTTAATATGGTACTCAGAGCACTTCACAACCCAGCCCAAACTCCAGGGCTGCCCTGCTCTCTCTCCTTACACCTTGTTTGGCTACAAGCAGGTCTGACTGGGCACCTTCTGCATCCTCCCCTGTCTTTGCTTTAGAGGCCTGGGCTGCCCATGCCCCCTTTCAGGGCTCTGCCTCTTGCTACCTCCTCCACACACTCTCCCTTGAATCTTCGAGCCACAGTTCATCTTGTTTGTTATGGTTCTTTAGACTCAAATCGAGCACTACTTATACTCTGCTATGTGTTATTGTTAACTCTGTTCAGGGATGGTGGGTTCTTTGAAGGACTACCTTTTGGTATTAAGTAGTCTATCCCTTAGTATGGCCTGTCTCTGCATACAGTGTCTACAAATGTGTCCTACATACAGCAAAGATCAAATAAATGTTTGTAAAGCTGAACTGATCTTGTGTTTAACTTTCAAACAGATAAGATTAAGCACTGCAATAAAAATATAGCCATCACATCTCAGCGTGGGACCACCCTTTGTCAGGCTCCCACTAGTTCCTCCCCCCAGAAGCATGATTGCTATGGCATTGGAAGGGATCAGCAACTTTTCTCAGGCATGTGAAAATCTATTGTAGGGTGAGGTATGTTGGAGATTAATCAATGTGGCAACATGGATCGAGGGTCAACTCATACATTATTCTAAGGTCTCAATGAACTAGAAGCCATCAAGATGTCACTGCTCTGCGTCAGCCTGCCAATCTCAGCCCCAGACACAAGGAAATGTGCAGTTCAGTGCACTCTAAAATCACCCAAGAGGGTCTGGCACTTCAGGTAAGAAGGCTGTGCTTGCTTTTCTTGGAAATGTCATTGATACACAGTGAACAGTTAATAAATACAATAGGAGTGAAGGGCACCCTTACCCAGAATGGAACCTCCCCTTCCATACTCCATCCCCCTGGCATCAAACCTACCGAATTCTGCCTCCTTCTGGATACGCTGACTGTAGATTATTCTCACTGCATCCAGGTCTTTGTTGAACATTTGGATGAGCACCAGGTATTTATCGGCTACATCCTGTGCTACTGGTGGTCTTTCAACGAGCTTTCCTGCTATGTCTATGAGCTGCAGAGGAGGCGGAGAAAGAAGAGGAGAAAGTCACAGATTCAACCTTTCTGTGGTTACATAAATCTTATTCTCTGGCTTTTCTTTCACATGCCTACCAAAGTAAGGGATTCAGGAAATTGTTATTGTGCAACTGGATCAATAATCATTAATTGGTGGGTATTCATAGTATGCCCCCCTGTCCTTTGCTCCTAAAGAAGGACTCCTATCTGTTGAATTACCTACCAGACCCTCTTGTGTTGTAAGAATCTGGATAAAGGATAAAACAAAGAGAAAACTAGAAATGTCAGAAAGGTTAAGCTGATCTACATAAAATATGACCGAAAATAGAGCAGGAGGGTGAAAATGGATATGGAAAAAAATGCTAAGTGGGCTGGTTGTTGGGGAGAATTTAGAAGGCTAAAGTCTGAGAGTGAGAACAAGAAAAACTTTCAGAGAGAACCAATTCTAAAAAATATCTGACAAATTTCTAAGAACTAACAAATGCTTGGAGAGAGGAGTCCCAAAGTCTTCCTATGCAAGTTATGGAACAGCAGGTAGCAGGTATTTATTAAAGGAGACACATACACACACACACACACTCAACACCCTCAGTGGCTAATGAACCTGGCAATTTGAGGGCCCCAGTATTCTAGAAGAGCATAGGGTCACCCAAACTGAGTTTAAGCTTGTTCTTCAATTGTCCCCCATTCATCCACTTTATGTTTTAGATATTTTCAATGACTTGAAACTTAACTTCTCAAGGAAGTCTATTCCATCTTTGAGCAGTTTTGACAAAAATCTCTTTCCCCTATTGAGCCAGAATCTGCTCATTGTAACTTGCACGGATTAGTTCTGGTTCTAATCCTTAAGGCTTTACATAATAGGTCTCCTCATAGTCCATAGAAGACTTGTCGTGTTCTACTACATCTTCATGCCTCATGCCTCAGAATTCTCAGTTATACAGCTGTTTATCTGCTCATCATCCTAAACCTTCCCCTCCATGTGCTTATACCATCTGATCTGGGCATCATAGGGCAAGGACACAGGTCTTCTTAGTCTAGTTACTTGTACTTGAACTCTGTAAGCATTTACACGGCAGGTGGTTTGTTCCAGCTTGAACCAACTTGACAGCAGTGATTAAGTAGCCACTTGTCCTGCACAGCCAAAGTTTCAGGACAGTGACCATTAGACTTCTTCACTTCTAATGGGCACCCTACTGATAAGGCCCAAAGAGCTCGTTCCAAAAGAAACTCTTTTGAAAAATATTTCTTCCTCATCATGTTTTCAGAAATGCATTTGTGATCAACCTGAGAAACCCAGTTCTGTACACTCCCTGGCCCCAGGACACCCACAATGAACTATCAGGAACAATTAATATCTGATATTAATTAATTAATACCAGGAACAAAACAGTTGGAAGAGCATCCTTACTCTCCTCGGATGAGGGTGGGGGAAGAATCGGGCACAGGGTCCATGCAACTGCAGAAACCTTAAAGGCATACTCCAAACTGGGTGCGTCATCGAAGGCTTGAATAAAGATAGTCCCCAGTCTTCGGTCGAGATCTTCTACTCTCTGGTTAAATTCAGAAACATCATTTTCAAATTCCTAAAGAGACAGCATATGGACATACGGAAAACATGATTTTCTAAAGGCCAATCCCACTATGCTCTTTACTATCAACCTTTGTATTTCAGTCAGTTATATCAAGGATTTATTTTAATTTTCTAAAATTCGCCTTGGTGTGACTTAGTTGTTATCCCTGTAGGTCATCAGTTACCCTATGATTGCAGCATTTTTGTCCCCAGATACTCTAGACAAAAGGACAAAGGGAGTCAAATGTGAGGCCAGCACCCTGTCACCTCCCTTTCTGTGTCACCTGTCCCCTCCTGAGCCCCTTCTCTGTCACCCACAGCCCCAGCTCATGCTGCTGTGAGGGCTGCCTCAGCACAACAGCCCCAGCCACAGGGTTATTCCATCCTAACCATCTGCTTTCCTTCCTCTCTTGAGTCAAAATCCTATTTTTTCACCATAAACAAACTCATCTGGGCATGAGGAACAAAGTTACTAAACTAATACACACCATTTCTTCTAAGTGCATCTGAATTGGTTGAGACAGCAGCTAGCCATTGTTCCTGAGGTTGCCAAAGTTAGCAAATAAAAATACAGGACACACAGCTGTATTTAAATTTCAGATCACTGAATACCGTTTGTAGTATGAGCATGCCCCAATTACTGCATTTCATCTGGCAACCTAAAGGGTGTTCTCTTTCTTAGTATGCAGCAATTTTCAGAGAAACTTTGTTAACTCAAACCTCTAATTTGTGGAACGATTATTATTGGCTATTATTGCTTTATAACAGGAATGCATACTCTGATGAAAAGACAAAGAAAAATTAAAAACACAGTATTTTCCTACTTCCCTAGCCCAGCCACATGAACATTGTAGTATGTTTCCCTATGCCTAGAATATTGTTTTGTTTTGTTTTACCATAGTGTTAGGAAACACATGGAATATATTCTGCTTTGTAGTCCACCTTTTTTTTCCTTCCTTCTTTAGATTAATGGAATTTTTAGGAAGTGGTAACTATTGGGTTTGGCCAACTAAAATCTCCCGCTGTCTGAAGGTGCTCCAAGCCTCCAGTTTCCTTCTTCTTCCCCTCCAGTACTCTTAAAATTCCTTCTCCAGTAACCCAGCCACTCCCTCCTCAGGGAGCTCTGTCTCCTGCTCAGTACTGGCCCTTTCGCATCTTTGTCTCTACTTAGGACTTGGACTCACAGGTCTGAGAGTCCCTGGGCTGCAGGTAAGATGTGGATTCTTGTGTCCCAATCCTGGAAAACTCTGGCCTTCCTGAGGGCTTACTCTCTTGGAAGCCAGGGTTAGATCAGAAAAACAGATAAGAAACGACTGTATCACTTATGCCTCCCCACTCCACAAATAAAACTCTGCCCAGGGATGCCTCACCCTTATGTAGCAGTCACTGCTGGAAGCTTAAAGCTTTGAAAGCAGCAGAGCAACCTGCAGCCGGGGCCTCTGAGATCACCCTATCCCTGAAGCCCTGGAATAGTAAAGAGCTGGAAGGGCCCTCCCTGATCTTTCTCCCAACACAAAGAATAATTAGGAGTGGTCTCTCTTGATCAAACCATGGACTCTGGAGCCAAAGGAAATGCACAGGAAAAATGCAAGGGAATACCCAGACTCTACAGGCTGGAGGCATCTGGGAGAGAAAAGCTTGCAGGTGGGCCCTTCCAAGCCCTACCGTGCTTTGGGGGTCCAAGCAGTCATAAGAAGATTCTGAGAAAACCCTGTACATCTCTTGAAATTCCTCGTACATTTGCTGAATCTGCTGACTCAGGGCTTTCCCTCTGATGACACTAAATTCAAGCTTTTCCAGTTTGTGGAAGTCCAAGGTTGTGTTCAGAAGATCCTACAAGAACAATTTATAAAAGAATTAAAATAATAATGATAATTATGATGATAACAACAGCAGATAACACTCAGATTAGCATGGGAAGAGCTGGGAATCATGTGGGGGTGATGGTTGCTTAGGAAAATGTGAAGCCTGATGAGTTTTGTAACCTTATTATTAGATTGGGTGGTTATAAATAACTCCTGGTTAAACTCAGTCACAAAGCAGAGAGAAAGTACAGATAGATAAAATTCACACAAACAAAAAATCAGATTTATACCTGTTTCTTTTTTGTGTTCTCTTATAAATACTAAAATATAATAACATCATTTACGTAACTGGTGGCTTTACTACTGATTTTTTTAAAACTCTAAAAGAGACCATTGTATCTGGTTTTAGAATGGCAGCTATCTTGAGGGATACTAAGAGGAAAGCGGATCTTTCCAATAGTTCTCAGCAAGAAAAGAAACCTGCGGGCTGCTCTTGCCAAGTACATGCAGTGTGATACGCCCCACAGTCAGCTGGGTGACGGTGGGCAATTACTTGACGTCTCTGCATTGGGTTTCTTCACCTGGAAGGGGATAATGATAGTAAGAGGTAAGTAAGTCAGCGCAGGCTTAGAATTTAGACCAGCGCCTGGCACACAGTGAATACCCAGTAAGTGTGTATTACTATCCCTGCTATTGACGTGCCAGTGTCCCGGCTGTGCTCAGAATAAAGTGAAGGTGGACAGTGCAACCCAAAGCCTTGGGGAGAAACCCTCCCGAGTCCACAGAAAGAGCTGATAGGGCAGCAGCCTCCAGAACACACTCACATGACAGATTGTGTTTATATCTCACATAAAAACCTCCAAACCAAGATGTTCTTCCCATTACAACTTCCAGCCTATGAGCATGTCTCTTCAATAGGAGAGAGGGAAATAAAAGTAATCTTTGTGTGATTTTGGCAAACATGTGGCAGGGCCCCCCAGGAGAGGGTGTTTTACTCTGAGGAATTTTGAACGGCAAGAAGGAGGAACACTGTGTCACGATGCTGAAAATCCCACAGGGTCCTGGGATATGCCCTCTGCCCACGGCCACTGCCAACAGGTGACCCCTCAGGCTTGCAGAGGGCTGTCCAGCTCCTTTTTCTTGTGGGGACACCAACTTCAATAGAAGTGACATAGGTACTGGGAAGTGGTAAGAAGTGGCTCCCCCAGGTTGGCAGGGGGCATGCAGGCAATCTTGGGAAGCCACCTGGCAATGCTTTTTAGCTCAGCTATGTTCAGGCATGGCTGTCAGCAAGTAGCTGAAGTGAGAGAGAAGAAAGAACCAGCCTAGCAAAGGAAGATATACACCCAAACCGGAGGCTCTTGCCACTGATTGTGGGAAATGGGTCAGTCTTTATTTAAAAACACGTTCGACTTTATATACTGGGAAGAAAGCTGAAATGAATTTTACTTAAGTGATATTGACTTAAGTAGTAATTAAGTTATTTAACAAGTGCTTAGTTGGAATCAGTGTTACAGGAGAAATGTATTTGTGCCTGCCATGGAATGTCACCTGGGTACCAATTTTTCATCATCCCATGGATGTCAATTTCAATTTTTAGGAAATACTCTCTAACCATTTTAAAAGACAGATGCATCTTGATATGTTTGATTACAACAGAAAACTAGACTATAATTTTGTTACACTATTTTTTTTTTCTCTCAGGAATACTTAAGGCATGGTTTTGGCTGGTCACTGGGAGGTGTTCCATCTCCAATGTAACAGATATATCATAGATATTAGAGAAATGTTTATTTAATCATTCTATTTTGGGAGAAACTCTATCACCAAAAAGAACACATATTTACATTACTTTATGTAACTTAACAAACACATAATGGGCAATACATTTACCTGAGGTTCAATTCAAGGTCTTAGACCTTTCCTTACTCCCTTATTAAATGAGCCCCCCCATCCTACTCCTTCTTTCCTCTGGACCCTCTGTGCCCTGTTGCCCTGCTTAAGCTTTCTCCAGAGCTCTTACCATTCTCTGGCATTATCATATATTATTTAGCCCCCTTCAGTCCCTGGAAGAGTCCTGGACACTGAAGAATTATTTGTGGAATGAATGAATATATGATCTTTGAACTCTAACAGCTACAGTAGTACCTCTAGGAGAAGGTGAAAAGGTGGTAGAGAATCTAGGAACCATGATCTCAGGATCAATTGGAGAAAATAGGAAAAACTAGACAAGAGGAGAGAATTCTAAACCAAGGCTGAACTGCATCTTCAAATGCATTTGACCAAAAGTTCAAGGTTAAACCTTATGTGGTGCTTCTCTGAGGCAAGAACTAAGGTGAACAGGACAAGGAAGCAAGTTCGGGCTCAACTTGTAAGCTGTACTTATAAGATTTCTTGTATTCTACCTACCATTTTAACCTACAAGAAATGACAATTTCATGTGGTTTTCCACTTAATAAAGACAGAACCATCTGATATCCAGATATGTCTAACTGTAGAATGGGCTGCTAAGAGAGGTAGTAAGCTCTCCTTATAAGGATGGATTTTAGTAGAAGTTTGACATCAGAAGTATTGTAGAGAAGATTTCTGAATCAGGCAGGAAACTGTCTTACAAATGCAGAAACAGATTCATCATGATGGTGACTATATCTTTGTGCCTTAAAATATTTAAATGTAAGTTCTCGTTTTTTATTTAGAAGTCCTCACAAGGCAGATAAAAGGCAATTTACACCAATAGGAGGTTTAAATGGTATTTTTTAAATATCCATTTTTATTCATCACAGTAGTAAACACATGAAATTCACCGTGGTACATAAAGGCTGAAAATGTCAACTTCAGGGGTATAGGCCTTGTGGAAGGTGCCCCAGATCAAGGGCTAAAAGTCCCCGGGGTTTATATGGCTTAAAGGAAGACACTTACTTTTCCAACTTGTAGATGGGCTCAATTCCCAACTTGCCATGGAGTTACTGAGTTACATGCAGACTGCCTTGGTGTGACTTCAGTGAACAGTAGCCATCGTAATTAACTATCTTTACCCTGATGTCATTGGATCTGGTGTGGATGAAAGGTGGATTATGGCTGATAAACAGGTGTGCGTTTTCAGACGGATGCCACAAAGAGCACAGGGTCCCAGGTGGCTGACCTGACCGAGCAGGTCCTATTCTTATGAAAAGCTGTACAACCTTTAGAGGGGGGTGGGGGGAAGGTTCCATTCATGCCATGGCCCATGGGGCAGAGAACAAAATCAGGAATAATGGCAAGTCCCACAAACACAAGCCCATTCTGGAAGGAGAGGCCATACCACAGCTTAAAAGAAATGTCTCCAGAATTCATTAAGGGAGAGCACAAAGCTGACATTTATAGAATAAAATCTCAAAAGGTCATTGGGGAAAAGACTGTTTTCTTTACCTTTCAACAGAGGCCGACCTTATGCAGCTAATGGTCTCCTACATGACCACACACTTAGGGCAGCCTGAAAGAGAAGCCATCCCAATTAGGCCCAGAATGAAAGGAAGCAGAGTGGCTGGAGATGGTGGAAAAAGCAAAGGAAAAAGCGGGGTATATTAGGTCAGCCTATTACCTATCTATCTCCCTGCTAATCACCTCGCATAAAGCCTCAGCAGGAAATCATTTTGTCTCCAAGTGAATCACAGCTTTATAGCAATTTTATAATGAAAGAAATAAGGGTTCTCTCCAAGCTGCTTACTGCATTGTTTGGAGGGAGGAGGCTGCAGGCAGAAACATAAACAGGGGATCTGCGGAATCTACAATATTATGGCACAAAAATGAACTCTGTGTGGGTTTGTGATATGAGTATGTATGTATCCAGGGGGTGGTGGTGGTGGTATATGTGGTCTGCGTGTATGTATGTGTTGTGGGGTATGTGTATGTGCAGCACACATGTGCACAGGTGGTGATCTGTGTGCACAGGTGTGCTATGTGTGTTCATAGGAGCTGTGCCTGGTGCATGTGTGTGCGTGGCATGGTGTGTGAGGTATGTGTGAATGTCAGTGTGTGCTGGAGCATCAAGCTCAAAGGGTGAAGGAAGGATTCAAGAGGCAGCTGAATGACTCTTTTCCCCTTAGATTTTTGACTATTCATTCAAATTACAAAGATTTTATATACTTTGGCGATTTCCTAAGTAAGTCATCAAGTCTAACAAGGCCCTCTCATTAAATGGGAATGATAATTTAAGCCAAATGGTTTATTTAGGAGAAAAGATCCAGACATCATGTGATAAAAATAGAGTGTGCAAAGGCAGAATGAACAAGGGCAGATGGAACCAGAGAACCAGCCTGGGACACTCAGAGGGCAGGGGATGGAAGTGGACCTTGAGAACTCCCTGGGAGACAGCTGAGGCGGGGAGACAATCCACGCAGCCGCAAGCCTCTGGGTACAAACTTAGCTACACCAACCTCAGCTGAGGAACTGTGGGCATGTTAATGTATGTGTCATTCTCAACTGTGCTCATTTCTTAAAGTGCAGGTATCAATAACTCGATTTTTTGATGACCGTAAGGATACAGGCTGGAGATGGGCTCTTGAAACATGTTAGTTCTTTTTTTCCCCATTCTTTCCCTTCCTCAAGGGTTGGCTCTGTAAGAAATGAGCTGTGTCATGGCTGGGATGCAGAGGAGGAGGATGGTATCCTGAGAACGCAGCAACTCCACACAGCGCAGACCTGCCTATTGCCCCCTCCCCATCCCACCCCACCCCACTTCCTTTTAGCAGGCACCCAGAGGGAAGAGGCAATGTACAAAATAAAACTTTATCGAATAAAAGAGAGAGAGAGAGAGGGAAAAAAAAGGCCAAAAGAACTAAGGAGATGAAAACCAGCCCTTCACAACATAGCCCTGGACACAAACATGCAGAAGCATAAATGCATCCGTGTCATTTTATTAACTTGGCTTCGTGCATTTGTTAATTGCAGCTGCCCACATCTTGGCAGCCACATATTGGACGCATTAGAACAGTAAGAGGTATGAATAAGGCTGGGTTCATCCTAATTCTTGCTGCACAGAAGCAGATTAATCCCATTTCAAACAGGCATTGATCACAGAATGTTAACTAAAGGGCTGCATGAAATATGTTTGGGTAATCAATAGCCCATGTTCACTGCGCTGGGCTGAGCAGGGAAGAGGTGGGGAGCCAGGTGGCAGGGGGTGAGCTGGAGCATGGGTTTGGGAGATGGACCATGAAAGACAGGAGGAAATACCAGGACGGGGAAAGGAGCAGCCACAGGAAAAAGGAAAAGCATGGAAATTCAGGGTGAACCACAGAGGTAAGGGGAAACAAAACAAGAGAGCGAAAGAAAGCGAAGGAAACAAAATAGAAGAGAAGGAGGAGCCAAAAGCAGTAGAGAAAAGAAATGGTGGCATTTGGCCCAAGAGCAAGGAAATAAACCAGAGCAAAGGTGGGGGAACTCAGGAGAGGAAGCAGCAGAGCAACAGAGAGCATGGTGACATTCAAGTCATCCTCTGAGTAAACTGGGGCGACTGCTTTTTACGCATCCATGCCCTTGATTCAGAAAGAAACAGCAGCCTTTGAGCCAGCTATTGTGAGGGTAATGACCCGGGGGAGACTGGTGGCTGGCGCTGCTTCTATTTACTGAATGAATATACCCAGCAGATTAGGGGCCCTCATGGTAGAAGAGCTGTCTATATGCAAAGTCACATCATTAGCACGTGTGCACAGGGTAAGGTGTGCTCCAGCCAACAGTCATTTAGGAGGTGTGCTCCCCTCCCCTCCCAGGGCGGCTGCCCGGCAAAGCCAGCAGCGCCTCCACTGCGGTGGCTGCAGGACAGGCTGGAGGGGGAGGTTCTGCCCCGGGCTAGCCCTCGGCGGAGGGGTAGACGTAGGAGAGGAGAGGAATGGGGACGGGGAGGGGAGAGGCTGTGCAACACAAGCGAGCGGTTATGGAAACAGCTGCAGAAAAAGGAGGCATTTAGGATAAAGTTAGATATCAATTATTTACACTCGCCATGATCCGGAGAAGGGTTTAAGGTGAGCCTTTCTTAAGACCTAGCTTCCAGCTTCCTCACTTACACATTTTCTCTGCCTCCCTGCCTTTCCCCAGCATCTTTCTCTGGAGAATTCCTACTCCAGTTTCAAAATGTATTTCCTCTTGCCCTCCACACTTTCTCAGAGCCCCTCTCAGTCAGGGACCTCTTGTTTTTGCTCCCAATTCCTTGCACACCAGTTTCAGTTTCTATCATGGCATTCACTACACCTCAGTGAAGGTTCCTGTCTTTCCATCTTGGATCTCCTCCATTCGTCTGTGTACCTTCTCCTGCTTTCTGGCTAAACCAGGCTTCTTACAGGCAAAACCAGGTTTCAGCCATCATTGTATCCCCAGCTCCTAGCCCTGTTCCTGGCTGTGCCAGCGCTAGACCAATGCTTCCTGAGCTGAAACCAACACATTCAATCTCATACACCCTTATTCTCATAATCCCATTGTTTATGCCACTCCTTACAGCCTCTTCTCAACATATCCCCTCCTTTTCATCCCAAATCTCTGATCATAGCTGGAAACATGATTCTAATTCCTTCTTGGTCCCTGTGGCTATCGTAGTAATCTTGAACTTGACCCCAAATTTCTCAAGTAAGTTTTAGGAAAACTATTATTTCATTTTATTATGTCCACTACCCTCCCTGCAGAGCTGTAAAGTAGGAAAAGACCAGCAAAGCATATTAAAGTCTGAGGATGAAAACAATTAAAGGAAAAAGCCTCATGTTTTCTCACCATGACCTTAAACTAAGGTTCATATTAACCTTTAAAAAATTGCAGGAAAGTCACAACTTTTAGCAAAAGTCCTGTTTCGTTTGCACCGGGATTCAGTCTTACAGTTTTCAGAGCCACCTTGAGGGTGAGAGAGTACAGCAGGAGAAGTTCGACACGGTGGCTGGGTGGGAATGGCCAGCTGCATGCACATCAGCTCACCTGCATTTTGCACATGGAATTCTGAGCAAGAGTTCATTTGAAACAAAGTTTGAAGATTATGGGTACATTGAAAAACAGCCTAATTAGTTGACTGATTCCTTGGGCCTTCTTCCTAAATGAGTCTATGAACAGAATTTCCTAAGCTTCTAACAGAACCACCATTACATGAGGTCAGTCCAATGATCAACCCAAAGACTGACTGAATCTTATTCTGGGTTCCGCCAGCAGAGGGTCACCCCAGGTTGTGCTGGTCCTTTTCCTCTTTTGCCCTTTGACTCTGGATCACTCACTCCTATATGGAGCTGGGAGCCTGATGTGTACAAGGACAGTCACCTGCACCATGAGTAGTTGTCCCAGGAAGCCGTCCACATACACAAAGACCAAAGCAGACAGGAAATCCCACTCCCTCACTTCCTGGTTCTCTTTAAAGTATGGAGATTCTCCCTTCCATCCTGAAACACCTGCTTGAAGAAGTTCAAGGTGTCCACGACGACCTGCAGTTTCCTCTGACTTTCTTCCACCTCACTTCTCAAGAGGTCTTCTGGGCTGAGATAATTAGAGGCCTGGAATTTAAATGAGTGTCACTATGCCAGCCTGCAGGTAGGTACAGGACATCCCATAGCTTTGCCCATCCCACAACTCAGAACCAAATGATTAGCCCAAGCAATATTTTTTGGAAACATAATACAGGAAGCACCTGATCCCATCCTCATCCTCAGTTCCAGAGGTGGACTGGGACCTGGGTCCCAGATTGCCAGTGATTGGCTCAGGGTGTGTAAGTGGACAGAAGTAAGAAAACACAGCAAGACTTCTTTTGGGCCAGCTGGGGGGTGCAGGGGACAGTGTTCTTTCCCAAGTGTTCCTGATTTAATTGTTTTCTACAGTAAAATAATTCAGGTGCAAGAATTCTTTGAACTATAATTGTTTCTCTGTCTCCAAGAGACTTGAACCTGGAAGGCTGTGGAGCAACTTTAGACAGTCACCTTCCCCACCCCAGGGAGGGGCAGAAATAACTGGGTCCTGGTGGCATCATCTAAGGGCTAAAGCCAGTCTTACGCATGAGCCAACAAATTATCATTCTGCTGATGCTAGTTTTGGTTGGGTTTCCTTATATTTTCAACCAAAAGAGTCCTGGCTACCAAACATGCAGTCCTGGTCTAGGAGCTCAACAACTGGCTTCTGGCCCTGGATTGGTTGACCTTTGGCAATTTGTTAAACCTAAGCCTTAGCCCACATCCTAAATCATACTAATAAATTCATAAGGCTCTTCCTGTGCAGGGTGCATCTGAAAGTGACGGAGATCATGAAAATGCCACTGTGTTTTGCAGCCTGCAGTGTTCTCCATAGATGTGAGTTATTATTTGATACTTTTTAAGCATGTTCATTGTTTTCTCAGGGTTACAGTTCCTTAGAGGTAAAAGAAGCCAGTTTTAGAGGCAGGTTGCTCAAGCCTCATTAAGGCTTCCTTGTGGTTCATGTTGCCCTGGCCACTGCGACCAGAGTTCCTAAGACGGAAGAGCATGAAGTGTGTGACCCAAGAAGCTACTCCGTAGCTCACAGGCACTGAGTTCCCAGCAGTGCAGGGCTCAGGGTAAGCCTTGCTGCACATGATCTCCTTGGAGCCTCACAACCACACAGCAGCCCTTTGAGGTCAGTCCTCTTCACCCCTGCACAGAGCGTGGAGTGAGGCACAGAGCAGGTAAGGAACGTGCCGGGGCACACCCAGCTGCCAAGTGGTGATACAGTATTTGGCACAGGAATGCCTGACTCCAGAGGCAACATTCCTAACTGCTGCTGACTTCACGCCAGACCATAGGCACAGGTGATTAAAGAGGTCAAAATTCGTCTCGTCCACCCCACCCTTCACTTTCCCCCAGGGCTTGCGCAGAGGGGAAAGGAAAACTGGTCTTCCCAAGCATCCCAGCACTATGAGAACAGCTTTGGGAGTTACTGGCTGTGATGTAACATAATTCAAGTGTGAGAACCTTTGCACCATAATTCTCTGACCTGAAAAAAGTGCACACTTTCCTCTTCCCTGTGATTCAGTGCACCAACTTTTAAGGGACAGGTTGTTCGGGATCCTGGGGTACCCAACCCGCCGGATGAGAAGGTTGCAGGTTTCTGGAGCAGCACCATGAGCCACCCTGGGGAGTCGTAGGACTCGCACGTGGCCCAAATGAGACAGACCACATGGAGGAGAGGCTGAAGCCGTGGCTTCACCTCAGAAAACTCCATGCTCTCGAGGGCTTCCAGGTGGTGGTGGAGTGGCCTCAGGTGCATGTGGATGTCCTGCGCCTCTGCCAGAGCTGGAAGGAATAGGAGATGGTCACTTTCCCTGCTGAGGCTCACAGCGCGTGTCATAGCCACTGAGGGTCTTAGCCACTAAGAGGAGCCCTGTGCCTGGGAAGTAAAGATCTGTAAAGCACTGGATGCAATCTCTTCTTAAACTTTGAGAACAGAGAAGCCTGGTTCCTAAAAACTTCCTAGCTCTAAGGAGGAAATACTGAAATCTGAGGACCCCTGGATAGCAAGGATAACCATCTAAGGAATCTCTCAAAAATTCCTGTATCTGGACTTCTCCCTGGCCCTCCTGGCCCTGCTCTGGTGCTCTGTGTGTAGAAGGTACCTGGTGATCGCTAATTCCTGTACTGCTATCTCTGAGGAAACACAGAATAGGTGACAGAGGACAAGGTTTAGAATCAGAAAGATCTGCCTTCACATGCTTTCCTGTTGTATGATTTGGGCATATTTAAATTTAACTTCTCTGAATTTTGAAAATAGTCCGAACAGTAACAAATTTGAAAATTCTTCTGAAGGTTTGAAGGTAGCATGGAGAGATTCTTCATACACAGCCAGCAGGGAGCCCAGACCAAAGCAGGTGTCCCGTAAATGGTAATGATCCTGATAAATACTTGCTAATTAGGAATCTCATTGAGCTCATATGGAGATGTCACAGGGAACAGAGAAGTAGCCCAGCCTGACTGTGGCAAGGCTCCGCTTGTTTACAAAGCTAGGAAAATCTCCCGCCATTTCCTTTGACGGCAGCCACCAAAACAGGCTTCTTTCACCAGTCATCTTGTGCCTGAGACCAGAAAGTAGGAAAACCCATAGCATCAGGTACTAATTCTGTATGGCCACTTAAAGGGTACTGAACAAAGAATCCTGGGGTACCCAACCCGCCGGATGAGAAGGTTGCAGGTTTCTGGAGCAGCACCATGAGCCACCCTGGGGAGTCGTAGGACTCGCACGTGGCCCAAATGAGACAGACCACATGGAGGAGAGGCTGAAGCCGTGGCTTCACCTCAGAAAACTCCATGCTCTCGAGGGCTTCCAGGTGGTGGTGGAGTGGCCTCAGGTGCATGTGGATGTCCTGCGCCTCTGCCAGAGCTGGAAGGAATAGGAGATGGTCACTTTCCCTGCTGAGGCTCACAGCGCGTGTCATAGCCACTGAGGGTCTTAGCCACTAAGAGGAGCCCTGTGCCTGGGAAGTAAAGATCTGTAAAGCACTGGTTGCAATCTCTTCTTAAACTTTGAGAACAGAGAAGCCTGGTTCCTAAAAACTTCCTAGCTCTAAGGAGGAAATACTGAAATCTGAGGACCCCTGGATAGCAAGGATAACCATCTAAGGAATCTCTCAAAAATTCCTGTATCTGGACTTCTCCCTGGCCCTCCTGGCCCTGCTCTGGTGCTCTGTGTGTAGAAGGTACCTGGTGATCGCTAATTCCTGTACTGCTATCTCTGAGGAAACACAGAATAGGTGACAGAGGACAAGGTTTAGAATCAGAAAGATCTGCCTTCACATGCTTTCCTGTTGTATGATTTGGGCATATTTAAATTTAACTTCTCTGAATTTTGAAAATAGTCCGAACAGTAACAAATTTGAAAATTCTTCTGAAGGTTTGAAGGTAGCATGGAGAGATTCTTCATACACAGCCAGCAGGGAGCCCAGACCAAAGCAGGTGTCCCGTAAATGGTAATGATCCTGATAAATACTTGCTAATTAGGAATCTCATTGAGCTCATATGGAGATGTCACAGGGAACAGAGAAGTAGCCCAGCCTGACTGTGGCAAGGCTCCGCTTGTTTACAAAGCTAGGAAAATCTCCCGCCATTTCCTTTGACGGCAGCCACCAAAACAGGCTTCTTTCACCAGTCATCTTGTGCCTGAGACCAGAAAGTAGGAAAACCCATAGCATCAGGTACTAATTCTGTATGGCCACTTAAAGGGTACTGAACAAAGTCCATTGAACAAACTGAGCCAGAAGAGTGAGTTTATACAGGTTGGTTCATCCCTGGACAGATAATCAGGTACTGTCCTATGAGAGAAGATGTTCTTAGGTCATATTATATGGGTGAAGTTCTGCATTCATCCTAAAGGAAAGCTCAAAATATGCACGATTTAGTAAACAGTAGCAATATGCAGGCATTGTTCTACTCACTAGATGTGTATCATCTCATAGGAAGCCCTGTGAGGTAGCTTTATTATCCCCACTTTATAAGTGAAGATATTAAGGCTCAAATACCTTGCCCAGGGTCTGCCTCTGAATTGGCCAGCCCTGCCTAGCTGAGCAAAGTCAAGATTATCCCACGTATTTATCATGTTAAATCCCTCACTGGATGGTTGTGGTGCTCATGACACACAATAGTTTGTGATGTGTACATCTGTACTTTATATCCCAAGTGGAGCTGTGGGAAGCAGTATGTGAATTGGATTTTGAAAGTCAAATGTCATGGTAAATTGATTAAAGCAGTGATTCTTAAGTGGGGGAGCTGATGTGAATATCAAAACAGCTGTGTGTGAATAGGCGATACCAGAATCTAGCAGCCAATCTGGTAAGCACATGCCTGCTTGTACATGTGGTATAGGAAAAGGGGCTGAGACCACCAGGCCAGAGTAGCTTTCTCTTTATGATGCCTTTTGTAAGAAGCAAAATCTCCTGTAGCCAAACAGGCACTCCCCTAATTTTTAAGTGCACAAATATTTGAGGATTGGCTTATCCAGTCCAGGGTGCAATTACCTTCGATCACAAGGTAGATGAAGAGATGAACAGAGTTAAGCACACACCTTTTAAAAATGCAAATATAAACTGCTTGTTACACAGTGATGTTTAGTGGTTTGCTGGTAAATCTTTAACAACAGGCTTTTCAGGGACAAAAGCCTTCATTTGCCGATTTCTGTGGTGCAAATAATCCCAATCTTTCCACCGTGTCTGATTTCAAGCTACTAAACTGACTTCACTGAGTGTTGGGCAGAGGGGTTGAAAAGAGGTACATGCAGCAGGCTCTCATGAGAAACTGCTAGCCAGTCCAGGCTGGCTCCAGCATACCACTGGACCTTGACTTCTCTTCTGCGTATCTGCCTACAAAGATCCTGGGTTGGCAACCAGGCTGTTCTAGGCAATCCTGCCCCTAG